GGCTGCTCACTGTCTCTCTTTGACACCTAGGATGTAGTTGCAAACTGCCTGGTGCTTGTGGACAGGGCAGATGACAAGTCCCCTGCCATGGTGGAGCAGAGCTCCTAAGAGCTGACAGCTGGTCCCACCCAGACCCGGCAGGGCGAGCCACACTAGAACCCTGAGCCACTGTGTTGTCTGTCTCACTTGGTGGCTCCAGCAAGTCCTCCGCATGGATCAGGCACCCCAATCTGAGCTCCCCGTGTCCCAATGCTCCAAAACCCAAAACTTCCTCAGCACCATCACCACCCAACCATGGAAACCCCACCCAGGACCTGCAAGCCTGTGGCGACACAGGTGATCTGAATGCCTACACAGACTTTGAGGCTATGTGTATGTGCACACAGGAAACACAGATGGATGTCACATTTGTACTTGAGACTCAAGTGTGAATTTGAGATATCTCAGGATGTATATCCGCCCCAGCCCGCCTCCACAGAACACCACTGGCCTGAGGATGTGGACGAGGGCACTGCACCTCAGCAGCCAGATGCAAGTGCTGCTCACTTAAGCTTCCCCAGACCCCTTCTCCCAGCCCAGGAGCCTGGCCACTGCCCCCTTCACATCCTTGTTCCTCAGGGTATAGATGAGGGGGTTGGCGCTGGGTGTGACCACCGTGTAGAAGAGTGTGAGGAACTTGCCCTGGTCCTGTGAGTAGCTGTTGGCCGGCTGCAGGTACATGTAGATGATGGTCCCGTAGAATAGAGAGACCACCAGCAGGTGGGAGGAGCAGGTGCTGAAGGCCTTCCTGCGCCCCGCGGTCGACCTGATCCTCAGCACTGCGGCTGCGATGGTGCCGTACGAGACGAGGATCAGGGACAGGGGCACCAGCAGAAGCGCTACCCCCAGGGCAAAGGCACAGGCTTCCACCAGCATGGTGTCTTCACAGGACATGGCGATGAGAGCCGGCATCTCACAAAGAAAGTGGTCCACCCTGCGGCGCCCACAGCGCGAGAGCCTCATGGTCTGAGGACACATGACGAAGGCATTCAGAAAGCCGCAGCCCCAGGCCACAGCAACCAGCTGCAGGCAGAGGCGGGGATGCATGAGCACCATGTAGTGCAGGGGCCGGCAGACGGCCACGTGGCGGTCGTAGGACATGACGGCCAGGAGGACGCACTCGGTGGAGCCCAGCACCATGTAGACGTAGAGCTGGGCCACGCAGCCGTGGTAGCTGATGGTCTTGTCTGAGCCCCAGAGGTTCCACAGCAGCTGGGGCACAATGCTGGTGGTGAAGCAGAGGTCCAGGAAGGACAGGTTCCCAAGGAAGAAGTACATGGGCGTGTGGAGCCTGGCATCCGCTAGGGACAAGAGGACAATGGCAGCGTTGCCCACCAGTGCCAGGACATAGAAGACCAAGACAGAGGCAAACAGGACCCTCTCCAGTCGAGGCCGGTCAGAGAAGCCCACCAGGATGAATGCCTGGAGGGAGCTGTCGTTGCCGCTCCCCATGGCCACCCCACTGTGTGCAGAAACATCAAGGGCACTGGTAAGAGAACACAGCATGGCCCCCTGCCCACTGCACCCGGCTGTGTACTCAAGAGAGTTCACCTCTGAGTGTACACCTACAGAGGCCCATTATGAGCAGGGCAGTGTGCCCGACTCCCAGGTGGGGCATGGATCTGCCCTGGAGCCTGCCGCCTTGGGGAACGGTACAGGCATGTGATGACCAAGGCGGGTCAGAAGCTCAGCCAGAAGAGTTGTCGAGGGCTGGGTGTTGGCCAGTGGCTACCAACGGGTGGGGAGAGCCCTGCAGCTGCGCCTATGTTAATGGAGGCCATGACCTGAGAGCCGGGCTCTGGCTGTGTTCACAGAAGGAATGTGACCTGTGGCCCACTGAGCAGGATGCTCCCACAAAAGCCAGCAGGATGTGCCCAGGTACAAGGGCCAAACTCAGGGCCGATGCTCAGGGACTTCGCGAATGCACACAGGAGGCCACCTTGAATGGCAGGCCATTGTATCAAAACAGGACCCAATAATTCTTGAGGTGACAGGTGTGATTCTGCCTCTGCAATACATGACCTACAACCCAGCTTGGCATCCTGTGTGTTGGCTTTCCTCATGCAAGATGGAAAGAGGATAGGGCTTTTAGGTTCCCATCCATACCTCCCATGTCCACATGCCTGGTGACAGTGGGCTTATACCTTGGCCACCTACAGCCTCCAGGGCTACAGTTGTCTAAGATAAGGGCTGTGAAGGGGACCCTGCCTGATAGTGCCAATAGCTACTGAGGAAGGCCTCCCCTTAGACAGTAGTAGCAAGTGACACCAGGCAACACAAGACAGTGGACATGGGAGTACAGAAGCATTTTGAAGGACCCCTGTGTGCCTGTGGCTGCTGCCCCACCTGTCGGCCCTCATGGTGGAGTCTGCAAACTCTGCCTGGCTGAAGCTGTGGTGGGGATCCCTAAGTTTGAATCCAACAGTTCAGACACCAGATCCCCAGCCAAGCCACACAAAGGGGTAGGAAAGGGGCAGGGAACCCTCAGAAGTGGCCAGACAAGTGCCGGGAGACTTTCACAGGCACACTTTGCAAGCGTCGAGTGTGAAGAGCAGCTGAGCTTCAGTATCCACAGACCCATTGCTAAATTGTACCCCATGGAGAGACCCAAGGACTGGGGATGACAAACTACACAAATTATTTAGCAATGGCTGTCACTTAGACTGCCACTCCTGAGCCAAAATCGCAAGGTGACCTCAGGTCTTTTAAAAACATTTTTTCCTCCATACTTTATTACATCAGTGTGGCCACCATGCATAGTCCTCTGACTCGCATCCTGCCCAGGTGTTTAGTTGACAGTCATGAAATTGCAAAGGAGCTATGAAAATGTCAAATTTCTTTAGTAGTTTCATTGGCATGAAATAATAAATGTGAACTCATTATGGAAACTTCGGCCTAATGTTCTGAAATTGGGTTGGTGAATGGGACTTGATTCTCTGACCTAAGGTTATGCTCCAACCACACCAACTCATGGAGGACAGACTAGGGCTTTCTAGGCTTTAATGGATAGAATTAACAACAAAGAGTAGGGGAACTATTTATATTTCAGATATACTGCACATTCTTATTTAGGAATTTTTAGACCCCTTTTCCCCCATGCGGGAAAAAAATTTTTTGTGAGACAAAGGCATTGACCTGAAATGTGGGTCCGGGCCACACCACCCACTGAGCTAAGGTGAGACTCTCTCTGGCCATTCCTGTCTCTATGCACTCCCTCCTTCCAATAACAGCCAAGCCCAGGGCTCAGGTCCCCTTCTCTGTACTCCCTCCTGTCCTGTGCCAGCCAAGCCCAGGTCTCAGGTCCCCTGCTCTGCACTCCCTCCTGTCCTGTGCCAGCCAAGACCAGAGCTCAGGTCCCCTGCTCTGCACTCCCTCCTGTCCTGTGCCAGCCAAGCTCAGGGCCCAGGACCCCTGCCCTGCACTCCCTCCTGTCCTGTGCCAGCCAAGCTCAGGGCTCAGGTCCACTTCTCTGTACTCCTCTCCTTCCTATGGCAGCCAAGTCCAGTTCTCAGGTCCCCTGCTCTGCACTCCCTCCTGTCCTGTGATAGTCAAGCCCAGGGCTCAGGTCCCCTGCTTTGTACTCTCTCCTGTCCTAGAGCAGCCAAGCCCAGGGCCCAGGTCCCCTGCTCTGCACTCCCTCCTGTCCTGTGCCAGACAAGCTCAGGGCTCAGGTCCCCCGCTCTGCACTCCCTCCTGTCCTATGCCAGCCAAGCTCAGGGCCCAAGTCCCCTGCTCTGCACTCCCTCCTGTCCTGTACCAGCTAAGCCCAGGGCCCAGGTCCCCTCTCTGCACTCTCTCAGGTCCTATGGCAGCCAAGCCCAGGGCTCAGATCCCCTGCTCTGCACTCCCTCCTGTCCTGTGCCAGCCAAGACCAGAGCTCAGGTCCCCTGCTCTGCACTCCCTGTCCTGTGCCAGCCAAGCTCAGGGCTCAGGTCCCCTGCTCTGCACTCCCTCCTGTCCTGTGCCAGCCAAGCTCAGGGCTCAGGTCCACTTCTCTGCACTCCTCTCCTTCCTATAGCAGCCAAACCCAGGGCTCAGGTCCCCTGTTCTGGACTCCCTCCTGTCCTATGCCAGACAAGCCTAGGGCTCAGGTCCCCTGTTCTGCACTCTAACCTGTCCTGTGACAGCCAAGCCCAGGGCTCAGGTCCCCTCTCTGCACTCCCTCCTGTTCTATGCCAGCAAAGCTAAGGGCTCAGGTCCCCTCTCTTCACTACCTCCTGTCCTATGGCAGCCAAGTCCAGTTCTCAGGTCCCCTGCTCTGCACTCCCTCCTGTCCTGTGCCAGACAAGCTCAGGGCTCAGGTCCCCTTCTCTGCACTCCCTCCTGTCCTGTACCAGCCAATCTCAGGGCCCAAGTCCCCTGCTCTGCACTCTCTCAGGTCCTATGGCAGCCAAGCCCAGGGCTCAGGTCCCCTGATCTGCACTTCCTCCTTTCCCATCCTTTTCGTGCTATAGGGCTGTGGCTGCTGTCATTTGTCACCTTTCCCTCACCAACCTGCACTTACATGCCTACAGAGAGCTCCCTTAGTCTCAGCAATCTCTAGAGGAAAGCCTGTGATTCTTTTCACAATTGCAGAGAAGCTCTCTCTATGCTGATACAGAACAGAGCTTTCTGTTCAATCTGGCTCCTCTCCTACACAAAAGTGTGGTTTTATGTGTGCCTCTAGTCTCCACGGGCACCCTGGGTTAGCCCAGCAGGGACTAGGCAAACAAGTAGAACAGAATCATCATTATATGCTTACAATTCATTGTAGAAATCAGTGTGTTCTATCTTTTTTGAATCAGATGCAGTATCTTTCTCAAAAGTGGAGTTCCAAATTAGAAGTCGGGGTTGGGAAGCTCCATACTCTGATGCACACTAACCAATATAAGCCCTAATAGAAGCCATCACAAAGATGATTTCAGTAGAGAGTCAGACCTGAGCCTCATTTCCACACACTCAAAAAAATTCAAAGTCCTCACCCTTCTTATTCCTGGAAAGTTGAGGACCTGAGGTTCTGAAGCCCTTCTTCCCTCAATTCCAGAGATCAGGAGGAGACTTCTCCAGAATCTGCAGCCAATTTTGGGTCTTCCAAAGGCAACTTCAGTGACAACTCTGATAGAAAATCAAACAGAAAAATGACATCTGACCTGAAGAAGAGTTGGTGGAGCTCTCAGCAGCAGAAGGAGGAGGAGAAATCACTTCCTGAGGCAAGAGTGGCCAGCGTCTCACCTTAGCTCAGCAGGTGGTGTGGCCTGGACCCACATTTCAGATCAAAATGCCTTTGTCTCACAGTGGCAGGTCCCTGCATGGGGGAAAAGGGGCCTCCATGAGGAAGTAGCCTGAGGTGGGGAAGCAGGCTGAGTCCCAGGCATAGCCAGGGACACCATGGCACTGGCTCACCTAGGGGCAGGAAAGGTGGCTTTCATCTCCTGTAGCTGTGGGAAATGAGGCGCCTGGGGACCTGAGGAGGCTGGTGTCAGCTTGTTTACAGAGCCAAGCCCGGGGGACCCCAGGGACTATGGTGTTCTCAAGGACCCCCAGGGAGGAAGAACTAGCTCCCAAATATAAAAAATTAGAATAAGCCTCACAAATGTAAAAGGAAGCATGCATAGAACCCACAGGCTGAAAACCAAGACCCAGATGGAAAGAACCCCCCCAAGATTTCAATCCGCAGAGGCCTCCAGCCTTGGTAGATTCAAGACAACCCAAGTGCCAGCTGTCCCCTACACAGGCTCAACACCATTCTTACCCCAAACCACACCCCTTCCAATTTGTAGTAGCTACAGACAAGATGATTCTACATTTTTTAAGGAAAGGAAAATAAACTAGAAAGGCAAATAATGAGTAACTCTGAAAAGATAAGGAACACAGAGGAGGGAAGCAGCCTACCTGACTCCAAGAGTATGTACAGAATCACAGGACTGGAGCAGGGAGGGGAGCAGCCCACAGTCAAAGACTGCCAGGACCTGGAGCGAGCTCCCCACGTGGGCTGGAGCTCCCAAGAGGTTAGGAGCAATTCTGGGGAGAAGACACAGCCTGAGGACAAACACTGGCACTGAGGACACCCAGGGCCTCAACATAGGTCTCCTGTATGACCAAACATTCTGGACCATGAACTTGGATGCAAATGGACCACACAGCTCAAGGAATTGAATGTGTTGTGGGCTTCAATGTAAACTGTAAAGCTATGTACTTTTAAAAGAAGAAGGTGAGAAAACCTTCAGGACCCAGGAAGAGGCAAAAAATTCTTAGACTTGACTCTCAGCAACCCACAAAAGGAAAGGTTATTAATTGGGCTTAACCCAAATCAAAACTCGCCTAGGAAAAGATACCACTAAGAGGCTTAAAAGGCAAGCTATAGAATGGAAAAACATTTTCAAACTATAATAGAGGTCTGGTGTCTAGAATATATGAAGCTCTCTCAAAAATATTCAGTTTAATCCGATTAGAAAATGATCAAAAGTCAGGAGGAGGTGTCTCACCACAGAAGATATGTCATGTGTTGGGGACACTAGGACACTAGTCATTAGGCAAATGAAAATTCAGATGCAAATGAAACATCGGACAAACCTATCAGAAAGCTCCAAAGAAAAATACAGAAAATAACAAAGGCTCACAAAGAGGTAAACAAACTGGATGATGGACAGTCTTAAGAAAGGGAGAGAATGATGCCCTTAAACTGATACATGGATTTGGCTCTTGCTAGGCACCATGGTACAGGCCTGCAATCCCTGCTACTTGGGAGGCTGAGGCAGGAGGATTGCAAGTATTAGTCCTGCCTCAGCAACTAGGCAGACCCTGTCTCAAAATAAAAAGTAAAAAGGGCTGGACTGTAGCTCCATGGTAGAGTACTTTCCCAGAATATGTGAGGCTCTGGGTTCCATTCCCAGCACAAAAAAAAAAAAAATAGAAAGAAAAAAGTATGTGAATGGGGCAGAGGCTATACTGGACTTGAATTATTGCTCTTAAAACCTGACTGAAATGTCCAAGCAATTCCAAAACAAAGTTAAATGGAAAGCCTACAGTAAGCTAGTGCTGCCTCCATGTTTGGGCCCTGCCTTTCCCTCTGGCTGTTCTTCAAGTCTTGGCTTCAGTCCAGATGTCACCTGCTCCATGAGTCTTGCCCTGTGCACCCTCACTGTGGTTCCCAGTGCCCCTCTGTGCTGTCATTATGGATTCAGGGCTTCCACCAGAATGGGAAACTGCCTTCTACGCCTCCTGGTTTCCCTCACCAGCTGTGAGTCCCTTCCAACCAGAATGCAAGCTCAGTGGAGCGAAGACCCCATCTGCAGCCCCCAGCCCCCAGCACTCTCACCAGCTTGCAACCTCCCACAGGGTGGGAGACAGACCAGAGATGGATGGAAGAGAGAGGAGAGACAGGGATGATAGACAATGGCAGGTGATACAGAGATCAGAGCTAGAGGATAGACACAGGGTGCATGGATGGGTGGAAGGATGGATCACAGATGACAGATGATTAGATGCTGCAGCCCGGCTGGCTAGGCAAAATAGCCGGGGGGTGACGAACAACTTTTGTACATTGATACAGCTGGAGTGGGAGCCGTTTATTGTAGGACAGGAGGGGTATATATACATTACACACAGCTTATCTTAATTACCATAAACTAGATACAGCAATCAACCTATAAGGAATCTCCACACTTAATGGCTCACTGGCATTACTTCACAAACCACTCCCTCTGGCAAAATGCCAGGTGCCATCTTGACTTGTTTACAGACCCTAACAGATAGACATGTCACAGATGACCCATACAAGATGATGGATCTGGATAGATGGATGACAGATGATGTAGACACAGGAGCTGGAGGGTAGCTACAGGATGGATGGAGAGATAGATAGGCAGACAACACATGATGGACAGGGGAGGGGGACACATGATAGATGACAGAGCTGGATAGAGAGATGACAGATGACATACATATCAGATAGGTGACAGATGATGCAAGATGGACAGAGATGGAGAGACAGCTGGCTGAGTGGAAGAATGACTAGCACTCCTCATGGGGACAGAGGCTTGGGTGGAATTCTGTAAAGCACATTGACCGGCTGCTCCTCACTCACACTTATGTGGATTGTATGTAGCATAACTTTCCATGTGGGGATCTGGAGGGGTTGGCCAGACCCTGTGTGAGGACACCCGTAAGGTTGGCTGGTCTATGTATGGGGACACCGGGAGGGACTCACTGTTGCCTATGTGGTGACACCTGCAGGGATCTCTGCCATCTCTACATAGCTGAACCTGACCCAGGCATGATGAGGGATGGGGCAGAAAGGTGTCTCATGAGTCAAACCCATGTCACCTTTCAGGAAATGGGGCAAGTGGGGAGATCCAGGAATGTGCCTCCATGTGCACTGAGGCCCAGTGGTGACATTGTGACAGTGCTCTCCGTGCTGGGCTTGCACTGGTTTACCAGGAGCCCCCATGGCAAGTACAGCCCTCACAGTCAACAAGGCGTTCACAGACCAAGCCAGGCGGTGTCTGCGCTCCCAGGGACTCTGAAGGGTGACAGCCACACTGGGAGCCCAGGAGTGAGTGTAGTGGCCAGTGTGAGGGAAGCACAGCTCCAGCTAAGGCCTGGCGCAGCCTGCTTCACCAGAGGCCCAGCTGCCCCAGAGAATGTGGCTGGCCTACAGGCCAGGGCTGCCCCAGAGGACACGGCTGCCCTGAAGGTGTGGCTTCACCAGAGACCGTGGCTCCTCCAGAGTCCATGACTGTCCCAGAGGCTGAGGCTGCTCCAGAGTCCATGGCTGCCCTGGAGTCTGTGGCTTTAACAGAGACCGTGGCTTCACCAGAGTCCAGAGATGCCCCGGAGGCTGTGGCTTCCCCAGAGGCTGAGGCTGCTCTAGAAGCTGAGTCGGCTCCAGAGGCCGTGGCTACCCCAGAGGCTGTGGCTTTACCAGAGGCAATGGCTGCCCTTGGACTAGAATGCCCATGGTGACGGGCAGAGATGCTGGGTTCTCACTGGAGCCACGAGCTGCTTCACCAGTCATGAACAATGACACCTATCCTCAGTCACCTTACCCTGGACGTGCCCATCTCATCTCATCCAGAAGCCATGCCGGGCCCAGGAAGTACTTGGGTGGGAGCCTCTGGGGACTTGGAGTGGCTCCCTGTGCTGGACACAGCTCCCTCTGCCTGCTCTGGTAGGGAGCCACACAGGGACAGGAGGTGGCCTCAGACTGCTCAGCCCCTGGGGTGAGAGCTTTGCTGGGTGAAGAGACTCCCTTCACTTTAAGCCATGCACCCCGGGGGAGGACTGTTCTCAGAATAATGAGTGAGACATGACTCCCGCTGGAGGCACCTTCCTGCAAACTTGGCCCTTGAACTAATTATCTGCTTGCACGTGGCTCAAACCCCAGAGGAGCCACACACTAACCCTCAGGAGGCTCAGTGGAACAAAAAATGCTCTCTCTTGGCTAAATTCTAGAGTCACCACCACAGGATCCCAGACCCTCTGAAGAGTCACACATCTCCTGAGCAAGGGCTCTGTGTCTAGGGTGGGCTGTCACTCTGCTCAACTCCTGCTTCTCCCCCTCCAGGTAGGGGGGTCAGGGCCAGGCTGGGCATGAGAGCAGGCCCCCTCCTTTCTCCTGGTGGCTCCACACCACGGCAAGACTCTCACCCAGGACGGGCGGCCGAGGCGGGCAAGGGAACGGAAAAGCATTCCTAGGCCGTATCTTCCCTCTCAGCACAGCAGCTTGCAGACCCAAGAAAACATCAGGACCGAAAGGAGGCGTGCATCTATGGAAGCTGCTGATAGAGGAAAAAGCAGTAGCCTAGACTCCTGAGAGCAGGACAAAAGGGCAAAGAGCCCACGTGGACCCCATGCAATCCCAGAGCACTGGACCAGTGTCACACAGCAGGAGGCAGGCAGGATGCTCAATCTGATTCCAACCAAGTGTGGAACGTCGGGTGGCAAAGAAGCCGCACGAAACGTGGAAGAAATGTCACCTGCAAGCGAGCTGTGGAGGAGCCAGCAACCCCCTACAGGAGGCCACCTGGGCAAGAGCTGAGGGACTCCCGCTGCCACTATGGAGGAGAGAAGGTGCTCTAGTGAGAAGGGCTCCAACGTGCAGAAAGGCAGGAGAAACTTCCAGACAGGGGACAGACATAATACCCGCCTGGCCTGCTGCCTACATGTGGCCTAGGTGTGTCAGTCATCATAGAGCAGCACAGCAACATGCGACATTTTATAGTGATAATGAACATTAGGACAGCTTCCGGGAAGCTTGCCCAGCATCTACTCCAGCAGTGTTGAGAGGCAGGACGGCTCTGTGACGGAAGGACACGCAGAGTTTTGTGCCACAAAGGACAAGACTCTGCAGTCTGACCAGGAGAGGGGCTGTGTTGGGCGTGAAGGGAGCAGCCTCCCTTGGTGCACAGAGAGGGAAAGAGGACCCGGCTGGAACTATGCCCCCTGTGTGTGCTCAGAGCCAACAGCAAAAGGAGGTTGGTGTCACAGGAAACAGAGAGAGGCCACATCAGAGGTGGGTTGGGTGCCACAAGTGGGTGCCCACAGGGTCCCGGTGCCCTCTAAAGAGATGCAAGGCCGACTGACACAGCCTGGCGTGAAGAAGGGACCCACGCTGCTCCACAGCAGGATCTCCTGGGAGGGATAAAGGGCCAACACCACAGCAGCAGGGGTCCAGAGAGGGTTGGCCCTTCCCGTTTTTCAAGAACCTTCCTTCTGCTGGTCCCCAAAGCTGGTGGCCCAACTTGACCCAGTGGTTGCCCACAGTGTCATGGCACAAGGAAAATTCCTTATAAAATCACATTTGTCTTTTTCTGCCTGGCTTATCTCACTTAAAATGGTGGTCCTGGTCTTGTCCATTGCCGCCGGAGGAAGGATTGGCCTCTTGCTGGGAAAGGAGCTTGCCACTGTGCACAGTCCTCAGCTTCCCACCCTCCTGCTGATGGACACAGTGGCCGTCAAGCTTGGGTGCAGCTTCAGAAGCTCCCCTGGCTGATGTCCTCCTGGGCTGTGGTCCCCTAACTGGCTGCTAGTCACCCTGTCACTGTGTCTTAACTTTGTGAGGAAACTCCACGCCACTCTCCATAATGCCTGTGCTAACTTCCCTGCCCACCACTGAGCAGAGGGCGCCTGTCCTCCACACCCTGGCCACCTTAAGGGTTGCTTTTGTAGTAGACACTCGGACAGAGAGGGAAGAGACATGTGCTGATCCTCACATACAGAATGTAAAAGAGCTGAACTTGGAGGAGAGGGCAGGATGGTGGCTGCAGTGCTGCCAGCCATGGGGGGACACTAAAAGACAGTGGACAGGAGTCGTGGATGACAGCCATGGCAGAGAGATCTGCACTGGGCTGTTTAGTCAAGACAGAGGGGTGAACACTAAGCACCCTCTGCACCAGGAGGAGGCCAGCAGGTGGAACCCGCATCTCCATCAGCCAGACTTCCCCACTCCACTCGCTCCCTGCTCCTCAGAGCCCCACACAGCACCTGAGCACTACCTACGAATGTATCCGTCAACCAGAAACTAACAGAAATATAGGATACTTATTTATCCAAATTTGACCATGCTAAAGTTTAGTTTAGCTTGGTTTGGATACTGTAAGGGAGAATTCCTTTCAGGAGCGGAAGTGCAGCTGCCCAGCTGAACGGCCAAGGCTTCCATGCAGCAGGGGAGCACGAGAGCCGGGACCAGGCACTGACCTTGCCCTGCCCACACTGAATACTCTGTGCTGCTGTGGTTTCCCTGGCTTGCTGTGCGGTCATTATGTATAAAAGGAAAGTCATGTGGAGAGTAAAAATGTCACTTCAGCAGGCCTCCTCCTGCCAGGCCACCGGCAGCACACTGAGTCTGCACGCCCTGAGGGAGGCATGCCATCTGCATTCCAGGGCAGGAAGGCAGAGCCCCAGGCTGGCGCTCCCTGTCCCACACCCTAGGATCCCTGTGTCAGGCTCGCCCCACTGGATCCGCATCGCATCAGCACTGTGCTCCTCAGTCACACAGAGGTCCCACCATGCACAGCACCACCCCAGCCAACCCAAAACCTACTGCCCCTGTTGTGGGCAGATTAGAACTCACACCCACCTGCTGCGACTAGCACTCTCTGGATGCCTGCACACGGCTGATGGACTACTGTCCACTGCATCTCCAGCCTGCGTCACCGGGGAGTGAGCACACAGCCCCAAGATTCTGTTTCCTCTTCTTCTAACACCACGTGTGACCTTGGCCCCTCCAGCTGGTGGTGCGCTTCCTAATTTTCTTGATGCACGGTGCCCACTCCTAGTGGCTGCACCTTGGTGAGGACATGCTGATCTAGAACCTGCACTTCTGAACAGAGGGCAGAGGGCTGGAACAGGGCACACGTGCAAAATGGCACAGAGGTGTGTGAGCAGATCCACAGCCAGTTCTGAGAGGGAAAGGACAGTCCCGAGGGAAGAGCTCACCAGAGGGACTGGGGGCAGCTCTGAGGGCAGCTCTGAGCACGTGCAGGGCAGTGTCCCCCCGTTGAGAGCCACAGCCAAGGTGGGATGGCGCCTGGCATTTTGCCAGAAGGAGTGGTTGGGAGGTGCTGCCAGTGAGCCATTGGGATGATGGTGATTAAGTTAAGCTATGTATAATTATTGGAATGGTGACTGATTGCTGTAACTGGATGATGCTGGATTGGGGCGAGCTGTGTATTCAGTTGTGTATGTGGACCTCTGCTTTCCGGCAGTGGGGCAGCTCCTGCTGCCTCGGGTGCCTGCTACTTTTGAGTTCTCACAGAGTTCCTGTTGAGTTCCCTTTGGTTCTCACGGAGTTTCCGGGGAGTTCTGGAGAGTTTCCATGGGGTTCGGGCAATAAAGTAGTTCCTGGTTGAAACTACAAGTGGCTTGTGACCTCCCGGTTATTTTGTGACCAGCCAGACTGCGGCATCCCCCAGGGGAGAGAAGGCAGAGCAAAGTCTGGAGAGAAGGCAGGAGCGCCAGGTCTGGCCCCCCACCTCCAAGAGAGTCCTCGAGCCAGGCAGGAGGAGGGCATGGAGAACAGCTGAGGAACACATGGCCCCAGGCCTTGCAGAGAGGGTAGTGCCAAGCAGCCCCAGGAGGTGACAGCCCACAGAGGATGAGCACAGGATGTCACTGGAAGCACACGGGTCATACAGAGAGAACCAAGCCCAGGCAGGAAACGAGAGCAGACAGAGGGAAGTGACTGGTCCATGCAGGGGACCCTCAGGACAGCGCCTGGAAGCCTCTCCTCATGAGTGCAGCAGAGCAGTTGGAGGGGCAGGAGGCTCAGAGTGCAGAGAGAAGGAAAGGACATCAGGACACAGGTCCTGCAGGGACAGGAGGCTCAGAGTACAGAGAGAAAGAAGGGACTTCAGGACAGTGGTCCTGCAGGGGCAGGAGGCTCAGAGTGCAGAGAGAATGAAGAGGCGTCAAGGACGCTGATCCTACAGGGGCCCCCAGGTCACAAGGCCCCCGGAACCAGACAACAGCGAAGTAGAAAGTGAGTTCGCTGTAACTAGGGAGACCCCGCACACCACCAGCCACACCTCTGGGCACAGTAACATCTAGACGTGGAGGCTTACTACTGACCATTGCCCAGCAGCCAGTGAGGAAAGGACACAGTCTTCTCAGAGGCTCTGAAGAGATGACATTCTTCTCCTCCCACAATGCAGCTATACCTAGACATGAATACCAGGTGAAGACAGCACAGACAGCAAATCAGGCCCTGCAGCACCACTGACGCGGCACCTCAGCCACTGCTAGAAGCCAAGCACAGCAGGCCCACAGCATGGACACTTAGGTCAGGCAGACTGGCCACCAGGACACAGCGTGCTCCACTGCACGAAGGCCGGTCAAGTTGGTGCTTGAAGAGAAGACAAAGCAGAAAAAAATTATATGAGGTTTTCTAATTTGATGCATTTGACAAAATTCAACTTTCTTTTAATGAAAAAAAGTCACAAAAGTAGGAATAGAAACTATGTCAACTTAATGACACACACACATATAACCAGTAAACCTGAAATGATAGAATAAATAGTGCCCTGAAACTTAATGACCAGCCAGCTGGGCAGAAACTTGTCTCAAAACCCAGCAAAGGCATCAAATACACATTCTCCAAATAAGAGGTGCAATGGCCAAACTGTGAGGGAGCAGAGGCACACGTCACCACCAGGAAAGAACAGGAGACCCAGGTAACGTTCAGCTCCACTCCTGTCAGGCAGCCAATCCATCCTGGGTCCAGCTTGTGGAGGATGTGCAGACCCAGTACCCGCGTCCACTGCGGTGGAAATGCAGCGACACGGGAGCTTGCCAGACAGCCTCTTCCCCAGATTCCTCAGGTCCCCTGACTCCCAGTTCAACATTGTCCTTGTTGACTGCACCCCAAAGGCT